AATTAAATTTTTCAATAGTAGGAAAATTCCAAACATCTAATGAATATGAATCAAGAACAATGGTTAAATATAGTGTGAACTAGAATGTTTTTTCAATGAATAAAAATAATCATTCAACATTCAGTGTTATAAGAATTTGATTCTATTTAAAAGTTAAGATGATTCTAAATAGATATATATTTGAATGCAAAATAATCATCAAATAAACGATTACTGAAACATTCATTCGAAGGAATGTGAATATAGTTCTATGGCATATGTTTTCAAGATATTCGAAATAATAAATATACTATTTAATTATTTATTTTGAAAAGTTATGCGAACAAGAATAACTCATGTGACAATAATCGATCTACAGTCACCAATCAACTAGGATTCTTCTGCTTAGATTTTAACTCCATGAATATTTAAAAACTTTTAGAAATATATCAAGTTTCGGTCAAAATTGATATCTAAGCACACAGAATTCTAGTCATCAGGATCGGATTCAAGTTATTTAACATACAAAATACGATACAGCATGTAGAAATAGCATAAAAATTGCATTATACTTAGATGATAATTTGTACAACTAAAGGATAGTTACAACTATTTCTGGTATATCTAGTCTGTATACATACCCTAATGATTTTTTCCGAATATTTTTGATTTACTTATTTTTTTGTTTATTGACGTCCGTAAAAAATGTTTGTCAGAGAGATGTGTTATCTTGTTGCATATATAAACTGATTTCTTGTTCTTAGGCAAAAAGATATACATATATAGTACAAGAGCATGGAGAGGAAAAGAATTCACTAGAAAATAATAGAGAGAGAGAGAAATTAATTCACCTAAAGGTACATATGGGAATGTTTTGGAAGTACTGAAAATGACTTTAAAATGTATCGCTTTCCTATTCAACGAAATCAAATTCTTTAAAGAATCTGTAACAACATTATGATGAACTATTTTTTGAAATTTTCTTATTATTTTGGTTCATATTTATAAAAGAATACAATTTTTCGAAATAAGAAGAAATTCATATCAGTTGACATAAAGAAACACTAAATTGGGTACATTTCTTTTTCATGTCATTTCTGAATCTTCCAATATTATTATGTTTCTATCCTCGTAGCTTTTCCTCTAATGCATCCCAAACGTTTTCTATAGATCAGAAGCTAGCTAGCTTTGCAGCACAATTTATTGATTCAATTAATTTGATAAGAATATGATTGACGATATTGATGGAGATGCGTATCTTTTGTTTAGAATCTTAATCATCTTGAAAAATGATATTACAATGAAATGTAACCAATTTAGTGGTTTTTTTATGTCAACAAATGGTAGATAAAAATATCACCAAAATAGAGATTAGTGATTGAATAGAATGATAATATAATACATAAAAATATTGATAACGTAATGCAGATTTCTTTTTATTTTCGGAAAATTGTATTGTTTTGAATATATGAACGAAGAGATAAATATAGACTTTAAACTTTGTAGTTATGTAGTATTGAGCATGTACAATTATCTAGCAAAATTTCGAAGAGTTTGATTTTGTTAAGTATGAGAAAAATCAATTTTAAATTTGTTTCAGAAAGACCTTTTATAATTTAAAATTATTCTAAAAGAAAAGTTAAGAAGAAACAATTTAACAGACAAATGTAATGCTAATAGAAGTTCGTATCATGTGTAAATTCATGCAGCATTGTAATTTCTTAAAAAAAATAAACTATCACTTCTTTGCTGCAATCGCAATGCTTAAAACGTCTCGCGCTTTGTTATTGCAATATTATTTTCATAACATCTCTGTGTTACTGTCGCGATAGTATTCTTAAAGTATGTCCTGCTTTGCTGTCACGATAGTATTCTTCAAAAACATCTCTTGTTCCACCGCTCCACGACAGGTTTTTTACAACAATTCTCTTGTCGTTATCACAGTGTTATTCTTAATAATATCATCGCTCCGCTAGCACAATAATATTCTAAAAAGGTCTCCTGCATCGCTATCCCACTATTATTCTTAAAATAACTTCTGCAATGGATCTGTTTTAATGCTAATTATTCTCCAAAAAAAGTTTCTAATTTACTTTTCTTACAATCTAATAATAAATAATCAACATAATGAAAATACAAGAATGTGATAATAATTGAGATTAAACAAATTTTATTGAAAAAAAAAAAGAAAGATTCTCGTTTGACGTTTAGATAGATATGTGTTATTTTTATTTGTTATTAGTTGCTACGAGTGCAGAACGTTTATTATTGACTTGCATTCGAGAAAAAGAAGTAAGTGTTGTTATTTTGGTACCCAATCGTTTAAATGTCATAGGCATTCTAGTTGTTGACAATACTTTTTGTGAAGATGATTTTAATGGTATCACTTTAGGTCTTAGATTTGGATCAAATAAATTTAAAATATGATGAACATTTGTTTTGGAATTTTCTTGTTGTAATGCTAGTTTTAATGTTATTGTTATATCATGTGCATTTTCTAATAATTGTAAAGTTTTAATACGTGGATATCGTTCTTTTAAATAGGTTAGAAGATGTCTCAAACTAGAATAAAAATATTCAAAATCATACATTTTTATAATAGATGAACGTAATAAATTTAAGTCATGTTTAATAGCTTGAGGTAAAATAGTTTCAAAAAAATTCTTATTATTATTCGGTTGATTTATTTGAAATGAATTTTCTTGTCGAGAATGAATAGTTTGATGATGTCGAACACGTAAACGTTTTGATTTAGAATTTGATAAAGAAGATTTTTGACTAAAAATAAAATTAAAATCTTCAATAATAATCATGTATTGAAAATATTTTTCAATAAAAAAACAAACTATACTTATTCTGATATTGACTAATAAATTCTCTATTTTTCATATCGATTTCAATATAATCAAATATATTTTTAAATTGAATATGATCACGAACAAATGGTGATGCATCAGTTTCAGTTAATAAACTCAAAGCAAGATCATATCGTCCACAAAAAGCAGCTATAAAACAAATAATTCATTAATATTTTTATCATTTTTTTTCTCACCTAATAATAATGGTGTAAATCCATAATTATTTCTTTCATCAATTTCAATAGAAAATTTATTATATTTTTCAATTAATTTATCAATTATTTGTGTATCATTTCCTCCATATAATATTGCATAATGAAGAATTGTATTACCTTGTTGATCTTTATCATGAAGATTAATATCAAAAATTGTTTCATTTAATAAAAATTCAAATAATTTATAACGTTGATATCGTAGAGTATACATAAGTAAATTACAACCAAATTCATCATATACATTAGGTGAATTAGAATAACGTGATGAAAGTAATGTACGCATTGTACGATATGCATAATTTTCATTTGAATGAAAACATAATTGAATTAATAAAGGTATTGAATTTTCTTTTTTTGAAGAATATGTTGACAATGATGAATGAATAGTTTTAGGATTTGTACTAATTGACATATATCGATTTTGTTGATGATTATATGCTGAATGACGTAGATATGGTAAATATGAATTCATATCAACTAAGTTCATACTGTTTATCTTTCGACCTATATATTAATTTCAATTTGTTATCTAATCTTTTGAAAAATTATGATAGAAATGTTTATTGTGAATTACCTTTGTTTACACTATGAATAGTAGTTGTTGATTGTTGCTTCTTCGCTAATATGAAAAAAAAGATAATGTTTTCTTTTTTTTTTATGTGTTTGATTCAAATTCGTTCGCTTGTTGTCGATCAAAATTGCTTTTGCGTATACAAAAAAAAAAGCGATTTTCAAGTGTTGATTAATTTTTTTTAACATGTCAATCTATTTACAATTCTTTTTATGTCATACAATACAAATAGTAATGTGTGCACAAAATCTATTTCTGTCAATTTGTATAAGCAATATATAAAAATATAAAATTAAGTCATTCACCACAGGATATTTTAGATTAAAAAATATTAATATCATCGAATTTTTGATTATTCTTATAAATCATTTTCTATATGTTAGTTTACATTATTCATAAAATGAGAAAAGGCATAATACAATCAACAAGCATTAATAGTAAGATAAGTATGGCTTCCAGACATTTTATATTTGTTTTATTTATCTCTCGAAATAATGTTTTCAATATAAATTTATGTTGCTACAACTAAAAAATATTTTTATTTGCAATCCAATGAATCAAATATAAGAATTGATTTATTCGTAATCAAAATATTGAATAAATTATTAAAAATCTCATACGTCAACTTGTCAAATAAGTGCACTTTTATAATGATTCTAAATTGGAAAGAGAGAAACCTATGAAATAAATCAATATTATCATATAATCTCTTATTGATACAACAAAAAAAAAACATTTTAAGATCAAAGATATCATATTTCGGTTAGAAAAACCTATCAATACAAATCCTCGAAGATTAAGATTTAAGACACGATAGAGTCGCTTCTATTGTAAACAATATTATTTAACCGATCGAATAGGGTACTATTAAGTATTCTAAATCTGAGGATGTAATGCAAAAACAAAAAAATATATTAATTATAAAGAACAAATCTTCATTTATCTTATAATAAATCCAAATAAAAATTAATAACATAATCAATGAATTCTTTCATTGATATTTCTCACTAAATAAAATTTATTCAATAAAATGCTCTAAGTAAATAATTGATGATGTTCAGAATGAAAAAAAAAACAAAAAATAAATATTCAAAAACTATTTAACTTTATTAAGAATGTTTTGTTTTGTTTTTTTTTTTTAATAAAGAAAAAAAAACCAAATAAACAAACATCTTGTTCATCTCTAAGAGTTCTTACAATAATTTTTAACAACACACATGCACACGGCAAAAAAAAAAAGGCAAATTGATAAACAAAACAATGAGAATATGAACGTTGGTATTGAGTAAAAACAATATATATTTACATGAGATCTCTCTCTATGAGAAATAAATCAAAATCCCAATAAATGAAAACAAAACAAATCAATTTTCATTCTCAACCAATTATTTCAACATAATTTGATGGAAGTAAACCTTGTTTGCCTGTTACTGGATGACGTCCTAACATCCAACCGGCATCAATATGTTCACAATCAATTATTGTATCACCTTCCATAAAACTTATTTCATCAGATTCAGCTGCTGTATATGAATAAAGTGCACGAACTTTCATCTAAATATACCAAAGAAGAATTTCTTTTTCTAAACTTCAAAAAAAAAATAAATAATTTTACTAATGTTGTTTGTCCATCAATATGAGAACCATGTTGAGTATTATTTCCATTATTATTATCAGATTTATATGTATTTATTTCAAATTCTATATATTAAACATAGAGAAAAAATAATAAAAATAAATAAATAATTAATTAACTCACTGGTTGTTTGCATAGCTTTTGATGTTGGTTCATAACCACGTGATAACGAACCACGATTATCATTTATTGGATCATAATCCGCAACTATATGTACATATCAAAAAAACTGTTAATACAAACCCTGAGAGGGATCAAAATATCGAACACGATGTAACTGTTTTTACAAATGACAAGAAGATTGTTTTATTCTCTTTATCTTAGGATACATTTTCTTTATCCTCCGGAAATGCGATAACAAAATAGTTCATATATTATAACGAGATGTTATTGATATACAGTATATATCAACAGCATTTGCGTAGGATTCTAACTTTTATTTCTATACTTCAACACTCTTTCTTTTTTTTTAAATCGTGTTTCACAAAATGTTTGATCGTAGTTTCGAAATAAAACTTACCACGACCTACTCTTGATTCTGATGAAATATGTCCTCCACGATTAGTACCATTATTATTATTATATTGATTAGTATCTTTAGCAGAAAAAAGAAAATATTCATTTATTTTCATTGAATGATTTATATATAATAGTCTAATATTTACCATGAGAAAGTATTTGTGATGAACTATCTTTTCGTTTACCAGTATATTCAGCTTGACTAACAATACGTTGATGTTCTTTGGCTCGTGTTAATGCTGGATCATCGGCTACTACTGTAAATTTTCCTTTACTTTTATTAAAATCTTCATGATATTTAGCCTATAACAATAAATATTTATTCAAATCTTTCATATATTCTAAAAAAACAAAAAAGAAATCTTACATTGCTTTGAATATCTGTTAATAATCGAATACGTTGCATTTCGGGATTGTCAACAACAACTGTTGGTTTTGGTTGTGGATAATGTCTGAACAAAAAAAAATTTAGCGAATTTCAAATACTAATTAATTATTTATAAATACATACACATGACAATAAGGCATTTTTTCATAACCTTTGACATTTTTAACATTAAGAGTCATTCCACATACTGTACATTTTAAACATCCTTTATGCCAAAACTATAATTAAATAGATGAATAATTAAAAATAAAATATCAAATAGAAAACAAAATAGGCATTAATAGCTTGTGAAGAAAATCATGCATTGCTTTCTGTAAAAAAGCAGAAGGAAAATTTGTTTGCGCAAAGAAAAATTCATAAGTAAAGAGTTCACACATGATTTACCTTATTGTCTAATATTAAAATGAGCGAATCAAATAAAGAATAATGAAGAGCAATAGAAATAACTTACTTTGTCAAGACATTTGATTTCTTCAGTTGGATAGACAATTTTTTCACATTTACCACATTTTTTATTTTGCACAACTGACATGATATTTTGATATATATACGATAAAAAGAATGATCTAAAATATACATAGTGATAGAATTTTTCTTTGTTACGTCAAATCAAAAATAGATAAAAATAAATAAAAGAAGAAGAGATCGAATTGATTGATTGATTGATTTGTTTTTTCTTTGCATCATTGATTGACCAATAAAAATTTATTAATTAAAATTTTATATTTAAATTAATAAATCTATTAGAAAATTTATTTATTCAATAAAATATTTGATTTTTAATATATATTCAATTGTATATATAAATAGCATGTAACGCTTTCTAATAATTGACTAATAAATTGACCAATGATTATATGTCTCACCGAAGGATGAAATTTTTTTAACAATTTTAAATCTTTTACTACTATCATTTTTCATCTATTGATTTTTAAATTATACTTAAGAGTGTCTCAAGGTCGCAAGAATTGCGCGAAGGGAAGGATCGATGACTTAGAAGATTAATTGTAATAGACTAGCAAAGAAGAAACGAAAATATTTCGAAATTGAAAGAAAGCGACACTGCTCAAGACATGTCTAATATTTAGTTATTTAATGCTTTGATTAAAGAATTTCTTCTTTGCTTTTAGATGTTTCTTTCAACGCCGTCGACATCATTTAATTTAACAAGTATTGAAAAAAAATTAGCAGCTATTGAAACAATATCTTCATCATCATACACAGTAAAACCAACAACTCGATTGACAAAAGTTAATAATGAAACAGAATTAGATGCATATTTAAAAAGTGAACGAGCAAATTTTAATGATGAACAATTTGAATATTTAACACAACAAGTAATATATATATATATATTATCATTAATTCTTTTCTTAATTAAGTTGAGATTTTCCATAACATTATTTATAAGTGATGAGTTATATGGTGGAATAAATGATTTATTTATATTACATTGATAATACTTGACAGTCTATCAACACATGTAGAATATGTTTTTTATCTTATCAATGAGTATTGTCATGAACAATCATCGCCTATAGTGTAAAGAATCTAACTATAATTATCCTATAATTCAGTTTTTAGCATTCACCATGTGATTTTTTTTTTTATTAACTTTCTTAGTAGTAATAAGTTAGATTTTATTAATGTTGAAGTAACACTTTCAATGGTTTATGTCGTTGATAGCTTTCATCTGATCAATAGTTCGAACAAACAGTTGTTGATTGTTATCAGCAGTTACATTCGTATCTTTAAGAAACAGTTGTTAGCATGATGAAAATCTGTCACTTATTTAGTTTATGAATATATTTAAATGGAAATTAAATATTATAATTATTAATTTTAGTCATTAACACAAGCTGATACTGATTATTGGGAAGAAATATTTTCAAGTAGTTTAAAACGTCGTCGAAATTTAATTAATTGTTTATTAGCTGATGATCTTCGACCTCGTTCAATATCTTCTTATGATTCAACATCTGCAACTAAAGTTTGTGTTATATTCATACTTATTCTTTTATTTTTTTTTAAATCATAGACAAGTCAAATACTAAGTGATTCTACTACATCTCCAACTGGTTATGATTTCCAATCGGTCAGTTTTGATATATGTCTAATTAGAAAGTTATTACTTGAGGTTTTAAATTAAAAAAAAAAGATTTTGATAAATGATTAGCTGATGTTATAAATATTGTTCTATAAAGTAATATAATATCATAGGGTTGGACATCTCAACAAAATCAGTCATCAATATTTACTGATTTATCACTTGTTGAACAACAATATGCTCAGACAGTAAGGTTAAATAATTTCATTTCATTTAAACTATTCTTTTCTATTTGGTAAATATAGCTCATTACATATAATCAAACAAGAACATCATCCGGTACTGGTGATGGAGATCAATTAATTATACAATATAAACATGTTGCTAAGACTTATGAAACACAAGTTATTAAAATAATAAACTAAAGAGTTTTCTTTTTTTGTTTCTAATAAGTCATCTTATTTCAGATCGTATATGATATGTGGCATGCAGCTGAATGGATGACAGGTGTTCTTGATTATGATTATCGTAAAAGTGATTTATTTCATGCACAACGTGCTATTGTTCTTTGTGCACGTGATTATCTTGAACGAAGTTTTCGTCAAGCATTAGAAATAACTTATAATGATATTGATTTTTATGGATGTTTATTATCATTTATAACATCAAATGAAAAAATATCTCGTTTACAATCAGTTGATGATCGTCTTGTTGATGGTGTATCAGCATGGCCTTTGATTTTTTATGCATTAAGAGCTGGTGATACTAATCTTGCTTTTAATATTATTGATAAAGCAAAGTAAATTGGTTTTTTTTTTGAATAATTACTTTTTAAAAGAATTATTTATTTTTAATAGTTTACCACATGTTCAAACATTATTAGAAACTTATTTATCAAAAGAACAAACAACAACAACAAATAAATCTTCAAATATTCGAAATATTGAATATAGTCTTGTTGGAAATCCTTATAAACGGTTAGATTTAAAAAAAACAAATGAAAACTTTGCTTTTTTTTTGATCAAACAGATTTTCTACTTTAAAAAAATTTTTTTTTTTGCTTTGAGATGAATATACGGGCGTGTTGTCTAATGTACGAATTTTATAAAAAATAACTTTGCTTCTCAAAGATTTTTTGGAGAGTTTTATAAATGATCTTTGAAACTATCTTGACAAACAACAATGTCTAGAGCAAGTCAAGTTACACCTGCAATATAAACAATAGTCTTGCACATCTTACGAAGACTGTCCTTCAACTGAAACATTACTTTTGAATGGAGGCTATATGCATTATTCGGACCCCAATAAACCATGAATATTCTTAAAAATTTCTGTTCTTAGTTTATTAGTGAGGAGATACTTTCATTTTATGATATTTTATTCAATACGATTCAAAAAGAAATGATGAAGCATAGGGATAGAAATTCGAATTCACCGCTTCTTCCATACACGTGATAGACAAAACCAGAGAACTATCATGAAAAAGAAAAACTCTTAAGTTTCTCTCAAAATTGATTTTTTTTCGGTGATAATCAAACGGCAGACAAATTTAAATTTTCTAATTAATCATCAATACTAGAGAAACTCTGAATGTTCTTGAAAATCATCCTAGAAATTTCCGAAATTTAGAATACAAGTCAAAAGACCGTATCTTCAATCATAATGATACGGAATTTTCTTTCAAATAAAGGTGATCTAGACTCTGCTGAGAATATCAAAAAGACTATGAGAACTATTTTAAGGTAGAATTTCAGAACGACTTTCACTGTTGCAATTTGAGTTCTACCTATGAACAAAATGTAAACTCAAATAAAGAATATCAGTCGAATAGATTTTTCTTCATCAATGAAAAATTCTTGTTTTTGTTTTTTTAGTGCAGTTATTTGTATATTAGATCGAACAAATTTAGTTGATGCACATGAAGATATTTTATTATGTATTGAAGATTTTCTTTGGATAAAATTAGCACAAATTCAAACAATAAATGAAACAACATTTAATGATCGTACAAATGTTCAATTGACAATTTCAAGACTTCAACGTTGGATATTACGTGATCTTGGTGAAGAATATTTTAAAGCATATGAACAACCATTTCGTTATACACGTATTCTTATTTTATGTGGTGCATTTGAATCAGCATGTGAATTTCTTTTTAAAATTTCATCAACTAAAGTACATTCAATTCATTTATCAATTTATTTTAATGAAAAATATTTACTTGGTTTAACATCATCAATTGATGAATGTATGATTATGATTGCAGGAAATTCACAACAAAATAAAACAAATACAGCATTAAATTTACCTAAATTAATTGAATCATATTTAAAAGAAAAATTAATTAATAATCAATATCGTTATTGGGAATTAATTAATTATGCATATGCATTAATTAATATTGAACATTTAGAAGCTGGAACAGAATTTCGACGATTATTAATTGATTTAACAACAAATTTAGATGATATACATATTGTTTATGGAAAATGGATTATTATTACAGATAATGATGGAGGAGAAGAAAATAAAATACTTAAATTCGAAAGAGGTATGACAATTAATCAGATGTATATTCAAAAGAATTGATGAATGTTTCCAACTGTTCAATTGAGAGTTTACTGTTATCGAATCGATCATGATGACTAATGAGAAAATCTGTTCTGTGTTTGTCGAGTCATAGATGTTTTATTTCATTTATCCTTAAAGAGTATAGTATCGATGAGAAATTCAGTTGTTACAATTCAACTTGAAATTTCATTTATCAATAGATCTTTTAGTAACAACTTTTCAAAATTTTCACTAGAACAAACATATCCTTATCGAGATATGAGCTTGTCATGAAAAATACACCTTCTGTTGAAATAAGTGTATCATTAAAATGTATATAATTTGACAAGAATATATTCGTTCTCGATCAAACTTTAAAGGACTCTTAGAATTGAAGGTTTTTGTGTTGTTAGTCAATAAAACTACACGTATTCGGTTCAAATTTAATGCCTCACCGCAAAGCTATAAAATGTCAAATATGAGCTGCTACTTGCATGCGTAAACCGAGACATTCAATGTATCAGTGACGTATCCAGGATTTTTCAGTATGCTGAATCTCAATTTCCGGGCACGGGACCCGGATGAAACTCATGGAGGGTGATGTTGGATCCAAATAATGGAATTTTATCAAAAAAAATTTACACTCGGAGTTTGCGAAAAAAATTAGCATTTTCCTGATCTCCCCTTCGAGGATTTTTTTGCTGTTAGTAGTATCATGGTTTTTAGAATTTCATAGGAAGCTACACCGAATTTCATCGATAGATTTCAAATTTCGTCTGAAAATATGCAACCGTTCAAGAGTTATGACGATTTGAAATTTTGCAAAAATTGTTTTCACATATAGCAAAAACTCAAAAAGTTATAACTCTTGAACGGTTGCATATTTTTAAACGACAGTTGAAATCTATCGATGAAATTCGGTGTAGCTTCCTATG